TGAGATAACAGCTTCACTATGGCCTTAATTATTTCCGTGCCACCTGAGCCTAAAATAGAAAGCTTGATGAAGTTAGTCTATGATTACCAACATCTATTGGTTACCTTCACTGACATACAGAAAGCTTTCTGCGGGTAAAGAGGCAGGGGTTTGAATCGGTTTGAAAGAAGAAGCCTCTGTTAAATTCATGTTACCGTTACATGAACTGATACATATAAATGTTACGTTAGTGCATGCCCCGATTTAGACACATGCTCCAAGTTTGGTGCTTTATGGAGCAGCAGTGAACTTCTCCCAACAGCTGTGACGCTCACAATCTATTGGAGAACAATTAGCTAGGTCCAATCAGAGGTATTAGCGAAACTACGTTTTCAGCTTGACTGACGAATATCCGATTAGTATCTATTTCTACGTATTTCGCTATAACATCTCTTGTTGGTATTATAGTAACATTAAAAGTGCTGACTTTATATGCGTATCAAAACAAGCCCTTAAATAGGAATCTCATCACCATAGATAGCTATGTCAAATACTGTTTACGAATTAACAGGAGAACGATTTCGAATTGCTTGCGACATGCTATGACTTTAGCATCTTAACTTATTCATATGTATGTCTTCTGCAATAGTTAAACCGTCAAACGTGTTTGTTTTGAAATGAGGATTGTTCTTGTGAGGGCTACACAACTGCTGTTCCGCTTCGGACATGCCGTTGGCTTTTTGTTCTTCTAGGCACTGTCTAGCAGACTTGCCCAAAGACCTAAACGCTTTTCGACTGAATTTAATAGGAACAATATCAATTGCCCAACGCTATTTTCTCTCTCGTAGTAGTAGTCTAACACTCGTATTTTCAGGGAAGTTGTGCACACAGATCGCAGTGCATATCTTCTTACAGAATTCTATCGGATCTCAGTCATTTGGAATCCGTAGTGCGATTTATCATGTGAAACTAAGGCCAAGCTTCGGTTCAGGTACAGGATCGTACGCATCATTTTCTTTTGTAGCTTCTATATTTATGTAGTCGTTTAAACGGTACCTAAGCGGTGCCTGGAGTGGATTATGATTGTGCATAAAAACGATGTGTTGTTCTATTGACTTAACTGTTTATTATTTGTTCGATTTTATTATATGTGTAAACCTTCTCAGGGGTGGTGTAGTAGTGGAACGCACAAAAGCTATAAAGCTTTGCTCGTCCTTCTCTGAATGTTAGTTATATCAACAACCCGATGCGGTACCTGTCAGTACCGGGCTTGCTGATATAAAGACATCGTTTCACACTTTTCAACCTCTTATTCTTGTTATAAGCTCGATGTTGGCTTTCGTTAAATTGCTTCCCGTCCTCTTTAGGAATGGAAGAAGGCTGCACAAACTAGGTTTCAGCCTGAATCAACCCTTTACCCCTACTGAGACCTCTTTTAGGCTATTCGGAAATCTGCAATCAATTTTTTTGGAGCAAGCAGGCTGCCGGTCTTCGATAGCACTATTGTTGTCAAATAAATTCTGCCATCGTAGTTGCATCCATTCGGCACGACCCTGTAACCTCAGCACGCGTTCGCTGAAAGGCCTCCTATTGAGGGTACCTAGTGGGCAACTTGTTTGCCTTTTCAGGTCATCAATGGGCGCGCTTGCGTTACTACCTACATGTGTCGTGCATCTGGCTTTATATAGGCTTAATACGTAGCCTGGTGTTCAAGAGAGTGCTGCAAGCTACTTTGTAAAATACTCAATCCAGCCTCCAACACGAGGTCGTCATCCTGAATTTACCGATATTAAGTCATCCGTGCTAGAGGCACTATTTCCGCTTCTGAAGCATTTGAGATGGAAATTGGGAACCGTCTATTCAAGTAAACAGTGCCGTCTCTGTTGTGGATACCTGAGTATATTCCTGGATGACAGCCAAACTATTCCAAGCTAGATAGATCTGAATCACGGGCATTGCTTTAATGAATAGTCACTATTCGAAAAGAATCTATTGATAAATGACAGAGATGCATTTAAAGTCTTATATTGAAGCAAAGAGCAATTCGTTTGATGTACGCACGTGTACACCCAAATAAGGGAAACTGTGACACTGTGTGTCTATCGTAAAGCATGAATGAAGTCACACAAAAAAAACTTCATACATCAATATATATTGAGAATATGCCTTTCCGAAAACCCCGTATTATTAGCTTCGGTGTGTTATTGAAATAGCGAAGCCTACGTTGTCGAAAACGTTGTTCAAGCGTTACATACAAAATGTTAATCCTACTACCTTCTCTGCGCGTTCCAAATCAGCTAGGGTCCTATTTGATATTCCCTTCATTGTTTTGAATGACCAAAGTTTGAGCAAATCAACAAACTCAACTTGGCAACAAAGCCAGCTGGTTAACCGCAAAAAAAAGAGAAAATCAAAAAGAGCAAATGATTCATGTCGGACAATTTGTCAAACTCGTTTTTTCGTAAGGGTTAGATAGCTTAGAGGTAACTTATATGTATGGAGGATTTTCACCTGACTCCTCTAACTGGCCGTGCTCAAAAATTCACTTGATAGTTAAAATCATTGGATTGTACGTTCAATTTCCTTTGTTGTGCTGCATAAGTAGACTACTATAGCTTGAAAGATAACCGATAGATTTTCAGGCCTGCCTTCAACTGAAAACTCATGATTTTAAATGTAGACATCAGTTTTTGCTTCACTAAAAGGAATCTCGTATCACCCGTATTTAATGGTTCGTAATAGGCTGTATGTCCTTATTAAGTTACAATAGCTACAGTTGTACATATCTGTGAAACTTTGCGAGCTAGGCAAACCACTGTGTCTCGCACCATAATCCCGCAGGGTCCTCCCTGTGGTTAGTCTTTGTTAACATGTCGAATATTATAGACGTACATCTAGCTCTAACTGCTTCCGTTTTATACACGATTGATAAGGACGCACCCGTATCTATCCATAACAAGTATATATTATATAGAGTATGATATAATAGATTATTTTATCAACAAGTTTGCAAATTAAAGATCGCATGTGCCGAACTACATTAGAAATGCGGGCTTTCTAGTTTCAAGTTGCCGTTGTCACCGCCATCCTATAACAGATGGTTCATAGAAGAATGAAGACAAGGGCTGCGCGGCATTGGTGCACAGTTATTGCTAGCTTTCATCTACATGGAATCAATCGCTTTTATCAAACATTCATTCTACAAACAAAGAATTACTAGGATTTCTAACGAAATGTACAATTCATTGAGTACTTTGACGCTTCTAGAATTTTAGAATCGTCGGTCAAGGTAGTCAATCAAAGTCAAAGAACGTAGACACCTACCTTTTTGCGTATAACAAGATGCCAAAAGTATGTTTGATTTCGTGACGTGTGTCACAACAAGAGGTGGACGTATATTTTTGTAATATAGTTTCTTCTTAACTATTATCACTAACGTGGAAAGATCACACACACGATATTATGAATGATACCATAATCAAAAGTGAACTATTTGAGCTATTGAAAGGTAGCGCTTTGTGGGGTCTGTGTAGTATAAGTTAATTTCGGACACATACAGGCTACTGTTCTATTATTAGTTGATCTATAATACCATCAGTAGGAGCTTCCGTTGGCAGTACGAGGAAAGAATTAGCCCGACCGTGTTAGAAACCAGGAAATAGAAGATGAACGCGTCTTCCAAACAACGAAGATATTACCTCATCCAAAAGATATGCTGATGAGTCGAGAGGTGTCTAGTAAGGCTGAAACAAAATCGTTATGATGATTAAGGATTTCTATTGCTCTACGTAAACTTCAGTATTGTACTATGTAGAAAACGTGCACTATACGAGCCTCGATTTGGAAACCGTTTTAAAGTCACTTCAGAGTGTACAGCTCTTTTGTAGCTTCAAACGGAAGATATGTTAACTGATAACGTACATAATAAGTAGAACGGTTGACTGCTGTGTGTTGTTAATGCGCAGCCGTTATTCTGAAACTTGGCGTTATTAGTTCTACTCAATGTAAAACAACGATTTTACGCCGTTAAATTTTACGCAGGAACACCGAACACGTGCCTATATCATCCAGCAATCATAGAACCAGGAACCTGCATATCGATTGTCTAGCAATAAGTCTACAAAGGGCTTGGCTGGCTACGGAGGACCTACAACCTTTCAGAGATATACTCTTGCAAAATTATTACGGATTGTTGGTAGACCAGACTGTTAATAGAACAAACAAAGAGGATAAGGAAAGCAAAAAATTAGATGTGTATGCGCAAACTTTGATAAACTTAAAAACAGGAAAGTTCTTTAGTAAATGACCAACTTGATTTAAACTAGCGTTCATACGCATGGCATTAAGCTACGTTTTTATTGACTCAAGTGCAATTACGATGGCTCTTTGAAAGTAAATAATTGAAAACGCATATCGTGGTCGAGCTTTTGGTACTCTGTTCGCAACGTCACAGCCATAATAAAGAAGCCTCTGTGTTAAGCAACCATTGAGATTTCCAATCGAAAGCTCCTAGATGAGCTATATTTTGGGCTAGATATTACGGGCGTATATGTTGCCCCTTCTTGCAAATGGGTTTATTGGTGTTATCACTTGAACTCTATAGGTTGGCAGAAGGCTGCTCAGTTTCTCGTAAACACGTGTGATGACTCACTTCATTAAAGCGCACACAGCAGAAAATGCACACCCTTTCACACATGTGCAGCCTTGTCTTTATTAATTTGTTATGCGTTCAGCCAGCTACTGTAAATCTAGAGGACTTTCGGGATTGACACCATGAATATATTTATATGTTTTATGGCAATATTAACAATAGAAATAGTGATAATAACGTGTTATATTAGCACTGCTTTTCGTAGGGCTTAACCAAATGTTGTTGTATTGTGTGATCACCAAATTATGCGGGAAGGAACGGTAGCCTGTCCCGTTCAATTTATTTCGAATTTTTCACCGCAATAGTAGGTTTTGCGTACTAATCGTTCACAAATGGTCAGTAATCATGTTCCCTTCATATGAATACTTACATCTGCAGATAGATGTTGTCATACGGCCGAAACCGTAATTATTGCTGATGGCTTGGCTGTAGCAATCTCTGTCGTTGACGGTCCTATCATAGTTAACGCAGTTGATGCAGGTACTCCTTGTATACACGACACAACACTTTATATAGGTAAAGCATAAATATTAAAACACTGATGATGACGACAAATAAACTTCTCATCAAGCCTCGTGCACCACTACGAAATGTTCGCCACGAAATTTCTTGGCCGTATTTTCCTTCTTCGGCTTCGGCCTTTTTCACCCTCGCAAGTTTTCGAGTTTGCCTTGTCCTTAAGGTGTACACTAGCGCTTAAGGTCGTATGCTATCATCATGACATGCAAAAGGATCCTTCATCAAAACCAGACCATCGAGTACACAGGTCACCTGCGAACAACCTGCCATATCATTTACGCCTGGACGTTGGAAGGCGCCTGTCGTCGAACTGCCCTAAGCTAGGTACCAAACGACCGTAAAAAAAACAAACTTTGTTGAACAACATCTTTCTTTCCCATTGACCTCTCACTGTCAGAACACGTTGACAGGGGGCTGACGCGAGGACGCGAAGAGAGCCATGCGCATCGTCAGAGGGCCGTCATATTATTCGCTCGGAGTTAGCTTGGCACCACTAAGCCCCTGCATTCGCACTTCGTCGCAATGCGGCATAACGGAATACGGCGACGGTAAATCTTATTCATTTCATTGGTGGAGCAAGCAGTTATTGCTGCTGTGCTACCGCCACTACAGACGTATGTACAACTTCACGCACAGGTAAGACGTTTCTGTTCCGTAGGCCTGTTCAAGCCTTTCCAGTTCTATGCTAAAGGTTTCTACTTGAACTATAAGATGCAGACGAGTGAAGTTAATGAACTCGACAAGCTCAAGAACGAATGACTCTTGTCGACCGACATTCAATTTAGTTTAACGAATTATTTTCACGCATTTTTTTGTCACTGGCTTCGTTTACCTACATCCTTCAATGACAACTTCTTCCTCCCTTTCTCTTTCTCGTCCTATTGTCGACGCAAGTGATTTCACGACGTCTTCACGTGAGGCCAATGCTAGCACTTCAGGTATCATCGATACTCCTCACTGGAAACGACGACGGGGCAGAATATGCAATTAGTGTAGAACGCGTACAGCGTTATACATAATGGAAGGATGCTGTGATGCTCGTGGCAGGTCGCCGTCACACTTTACTTGCAGGATTATTCTCGCTACAACAAACTCGCGAGCCGTCAGAATGTCTGTACAAAATTGCCACACGCCGGCAAGGACTCACAGAATCGCGCGCGCTCGATACACCGCCACGATGTATGGATACTGGTTGGTAAGGGAAAGGGTCCATTCTGGAGGAGAGAACCGCGATTTGATGGGAGGGGCTACCCTCTCCGAACTCTTTCATCGCTTCAGTTTTGATGGCGGCAGCAGAAAGGAGGTCCAAAGGGTCTTCGCAGGCCAACAAAGGCTTCGCTGGTTTTGCGAAGCTACGACACATAGTACCACTATAAAGACGTCGTATTACCGAAAATGAGGTCCGGCAACGATTCCAACGTAGCAAAGAACTACGAAGAGACGGGAAAAACGATGTAGGAAGCCGACAGTGACGCACGCAAAGGGTTAGGATGCAATTGCCGCTAGAGCGCTGGCGATGCGTAAACTTATCGGACATGACTGACACTGTTTTATTGTGCGGGCCTGAGACTCATTTCAGTTGTTCTGATTCGCGGCGTCGAAGATTGCGTGGAAAGAACAACGTAGTTACTATGTAGATGACGTGGGTCTATTGTATAATACTGTGATTTCAAGGAGGTTAAACAATCCAATGAAGATATGTAATTCAATATATTATAGCGAAAAGGACTACTTTTAGTGACGCAAATGGCTAAATAAGCAATAAACTTTGTCTACAGCTTGGATGTATATGAAGGCAGTTGTGATGATTAAAATCAAGATAAATACTGAGTACTGAGAGAAAATGGCCCTCCGCATTCGACCCTTTGAGTAAATACGTGAGCACGCCTTTTAGTTCAAATGTTCTGTCGTTCCCTTTTCCTTTTTGCCTCACTCCACAAAAGGGTTTGTACCTTTTCCAATCTAACTTAGACTACGCTCAGGCTATGCTGCAATGGTTATTGTTGCGTTATTCTGTTCCTCCACTCCCACCACCCCATTGCATTCGTTATTACCGAGCCGTTGCCGTTGTTCTATCTACGCAGTTCACCTAATAACACGTTTTGATTAGGCCAAAATGTTATTCTAGTCATCGTAAACCAATTTTCTCAATTAATTTGCTCTATTACTTTGTCTTCAGTCTTCACCTACTCGGATATGATTATTTCCTTATAGTAGATTGATTGCGGTACACACACCGTTTATTATGTGAGAGCCGCGTGTAAAACAAGCTTCTCATAGAACGTTTATCAGGTAGGTTAATACACTTCTCGCCCGTCTGTTTTCCGCCGGCCTTCACTGACTGACTAGATGTGACAGATTATCGCTGAGAAAGCCAAACAAAATAACAGATTTTATATTCTTCGTTTCTTCTTTAACTAATGTTTGTACTAATATTAAGTCAAACAAACATTCGGCCATCGCAAATTGAAACTTAAGCTTTATAAAATCGTTCTCATTGTTGGTTCAGCAAGACCCGCCTCGGCGAAAACTGCCAGTGGGACACGCTCTTCAGGCGATACTTAATGAAGTAATTCCGAAAACTTGTTCACACAGAGGGAATAGTTAACGGCGTTAAAGGAAATCTCACACCTAATAACAAAAGAGGATAATAATGATCATAGCCAAAACATATTTCCCATACGTTGTTTTATGAACCGTTACATTTAGGTGTAACTTTTTCAGTCATTTCGCATTGCGAACCTTTATTGCGGCCGGCATAAATATGTGGATTTTTGCATGACTGCTATTGCAGTGCACCTTCACTTCGTACACAACCACGCTCACCAGGTTAGCACACGTCATTGGACAAGGCCCGAAACATTTAAAGATGACCACAACAACCTCAACAGAACAAATGTATCTGTAAAAAATAGTCAATATATAGATCCGAGCCATTGCGAATATTAACGAGCAATTCAAAACGATAGATTGAAACATCTGATGCAGAGGCGATCGCGGTGTTCATTAATGTCAACATTTTCTAGCTATGTCTGTATGCTCGCGGAGTACGAAGGCACCCCCTTTCAGTTGTCTTTTGCTTGTTTGTAGCCGCTACTCTGTAAAAACAGATATCCAGTCCTTAACATCTTATAGGACCAAACATTATGTTGAGTTGTTGAAAAAGCAGTAGCCGATTTTCTAGCCAAAACTTTAAAGTTGCGTATCGTTAATACTGTGAGTTACCCCAGATCGGCGTTTGAAAGCTAAGATTTGACTGTATTAGTCATGCTAATATTGGAATTATCAACGCCTTTTATAGAGCGTCTTCTGTTAGGTTTCTGCAAAAAAACTGGCTATATTTTACAGTTTTATGACAATATGACGAATGCTGCCCTTATGGTCCTAAAGTACTCCTTATAGTCAACATGTGCTATCAAAAGTAAGATGGTTTTGTCGTTTTCGTTCTGGGACTTCCGATGTGAAGGGTTCTAGTTACGGTCGACCAAAAACAAAGGACCTTATGACGGATAAAGTTCAGCAAGACAGACGTAGTTAATCATAGTCTCAGCAAAAAGCAATACCACCACACAGTTTTGAACTATTTAGACAAAGCTGGCTAAAAAAAGCTCGTTGTTTGGGAGGTTTGGGAGCCATGCGAATTAACGGAAGAGAATTTGCGGTATCATTTACAAAATTCTACAGAAAAGCAGCAAAATCGAGCAATCTCTGAAACGGTTGACTAACAGAGTTAAAAGTGGTCACATCCAAAAGATAGTATGCTAATAAAAAAATGTATGTTATCTAAAAAAATCCAGAGTGACAAAGAAGGTGATGCTATGTATTCGGCGGGGTGCACTATGAGTTGCTGACGTTTGGCAGAACTATTGATTCGGACCTCTGTCGACTATTAACAAGGTTACCGCAAACCATTTAAAAAATCGAGCGCAACTAGTGAACGGACAAGGCACCGTTTTCCGCTATCGTAACGCTAAATCGCATAAATCTTTCAACATTGAGAGAAGAAGGACGGAAGACTTCAATGCGTCCGCAATATAACTCCAGGTCTCGTACCATCAGACTATCATCTGTTTCGGTTTCTGCACGGCTCCCTTAATGACGCAAAAATCACTTTTCACAATTTTTTTCCAGAAGCCACAGAGGTTCTACAGTCATGGCAATAGGACGTTTCCAGAAAAATAGCAGAAAGTTACCGAACATAATATATAAGTAAGAAATAATAAAAACATGTGCTTTTCGGTTAAAAACGACTGATGCTTTTTCGTCGTTGGATCTTTGCAACCCTGTCATAGATTCGTGAACTGAATCGTACTTGTGTAAAAAAAAAGCTCCATATGAAAAAAAACTTAACAAAGGTCGCACACCCATAAACTTAATAGTATGACGTAAACAAGCATGGTTGAGCCCAAGCTTAACCTATTCGAAACAGGAGTCAACAAGAGACCTTTGTTATCACTACTTAGTTCAACAGTTTAATGGCAAGTACTTTTGCACCGAGACGAACAATCATATCCAATAATATTGAACTTCATAGATACTGTATTGTAATAGTTATGCTTCCTGTGGGTTGGCTTTGAGTAGGCGTCTGGAGAACTTCTCATTTACAGGTTTTTCCGCATTCCACAATATCAGTTTATGGGCAGGTTTAGCCAAAGTAGAACTGAATATGCACTGAAGACGTTTACCTTTTCTACCCAGCTTTGCTGTCGAAGCTTGACTCCCTTCAGAGGCTTATGTAAATCCATCCGTTGAGGCACGGCTTTATCATAATGTCTGACCCAACTTCAAGGACACTTGCCTCTGCGACATCTGTAATTCAACGTCACCCAAAACTATGGTCTGAAAAAATCGTTGTTTTTTAGAATTGACTTTTTTGGCTTCAGGCCTGTGTAAAACTGCAGCGGGCTGGCTATTTGGAAGAGTCTTGTTTTGT